GCAGTGGTCGGTGCTCGAGATGCAGAGCTCCGCGACGCAGTTGTAATCTGCGCCCCAATCGCGGTCGGAAGCGTTTGAAGGGAGTTGGCGGCGCCGCTGAGCGGAGCGACGACTTGCGGCCGAGGGAAGTTGCGGGCCTGCGATCCTCTGCAGTTCTCGCAACTTTTGATGAAAGAAGTTGGAGAAGCCGGCAGCCATCTCAGCGCCAACTCTGACGGCCAAGTCGCTACCGACAATGGATATTCATTCGATGGAGACTGTTGGAATTTCTATGCGTAGAATTCACCCCTGAACAGTATTGTCACCTAGCGAATGTGTAATTTAGATTTCTCATTCGAGAGGAGAGAAACAGTATCGGGAGTGGATGTACTAGAATTGGCCATATTTTAATAATACTTATTTTATAATTTTAAAAAAATTCAAATTCCATAGTAAAATCACCAATGAATACAAAAAATTCGCCATTCTGGTCAGTATCATTTGTAAATTGTACATATACTTTATTTTTCTACAGTGAAGTTCTATTTCCTGCTGTGTAAACCTATGACTATATCCAAATGGAGGAGAGATTCATATTCTCGTTTTTTAAAACAGTTTCGTGGGATATTCCTTTTCATACTCCCGTGCGTGCCAACTAGAGATTTTGAAAGACTTTGCTCATATTTGAATGCATGTTGGCGTCTAGTTTCCGGGAAAATCTCCGAGAATGAGTTGCACCTTCTAGAAGCGGTGCAGGGTTGTACCGTGTGAGGAAGCGCTCTGTGGCCATTTCTTCTTCCACCAACACCTCGGTGGACGAGTGGGTTCTTACCTTACCGACCTCTGAACCCCGCAGTGTGCAGGTTCGATTCGGCGAAGGGGCGGGCATATTCGAACGGCGGAGAATTCCGCTGTGGCCATGCCTTGCTTGTGACATGTAAATGAACACTGGCAGGTGCCTGCAATATGAAATTCCTCCGACAATTTCCCCTCTAACGAGATCTCTTGTTCTCCCAACCAGAGAGCTCCGCTCTGGTTAGCTGAGAATGATATCCAGAGATGTGAGTCACACTTAGGCGTATCAGGGGTTGCTCACGGAGCGCGCCAACTCAAACGTCTCCCAGCCCCACGCCGGGCGTAACTACATTATTTTCTTTACATTTTTTCATATATTGAAGTTCTGATCGTATTCATCGAATCAAAATCAAATACACGACCTGCTCGCTATAAGAGACAACTTCAATCAACGAATAACCTGTAATATCCACTACATGAGCACAATTTCTAACACGAGTCTTTCATGTCAGGCTCGTCGTGTCCTCAAACCGAGGGCCCTTGGCTGTGGGTTTAGCGCGCCTCAGAGCTCGTCAGCGCGGCGCATTGACATGTTAATACATCACGCCAGTCAGCTTTTTTCGGTGATGGGCGGGCCGCGTGGCGTTGTTTCGCTCTTGTTGCGCCGTCTCCTTAATGGACCGATGGAGCAGCACGCGCCCATCGCCCTCGCTCGCCAACAGGTGGGCGGTCAGATCGGAGGGTGGGAAGGAATGGTCCAGGTGAGGGGTGCAGTAGACGGGGTCGGTTCAAAGGGTGGTGACCCGGCTGGGGGGCTGCCAGTGGGTGGTTGGGTGGAGTGGGGGA